CCTCCTCGGCCCTGCGTTTGGCCTCTGCTTCTTCCTCGGCCCTGCGTTTGGCCTCTGCTTCCTCCTCGGCCCTGCGTTTGGCCTCTGCTTCCTCTTCAGCCCTGCGTTTTGTGTATGCATTCTCATCCCTGTCAATGTTGCGTAGGACCCACTCATCGCCCACAGTGTGCAATTGAGTTCTTACTTGTTTTGTTTCGTCTGCCTGCTCCGGTTTAGCCTGCGCATTTCTGACTTCAATCATTCTGCTAGTGATGGATGCCTTTTTGTGGTTATTTGTGTACGTGCCGCCGTGCCCGGGTGATAAGGGGATGTTTGCGGCGCCCCCCTCTTGCCGCACGGTGGCGCGTGGGAGGAGGGCTGCCAGTTGGCGGGCGTCCAAGCCGGCTGTGGGGGAGTCCTGCCTGCCGCCGACGCGCGGTGGTCTATGCGCGGGGGCCAAGGCGATGAAGATGCAGCCTTCCCTGAAGCGGCTGAGCAGCTTTAGGCGACGCCTGTCGCACTTGTGGACGAGCTCGCGCCGCACGTGCGCCTCCGCGAGGACGACGGCGAAGGCCACGGAGCAGTACCGCCTGTAGCCCGGGCCGGCCTGCGCGGCGGACGCGGGTGGCGGTGCGAAGTCCCGGACTTCCAAACCGGCCGGTGCCACAATTTTTTCCGCCGCGTCGCCCCGGCGCAGGTCGGGCGCGCCCCCTACTTGCACAGACGCGTCCACCGCGTCGCGCGGGCGCCTGTCGGGGCGGGAGCGCGGTGTTATCATCAGCCCGTCACTGCGCGGCAACGGCGCGGGAAGGGCTTCGTGGGGTTCACACGGGCCCTTTGCATCCCCCTCGCGCTCGAGCAGGCCGGCTTGGGTCGCCTTCAGCTCGCTGATTTCTGCGCGCAGCCGCCCCAGAGCGGCACGGCTGCCGCCGTTTTTCTTGAGCCGGCGGAACTCTTTTATGAGTTTCTCGGTGCGGCGGACGGTGTCCAGCACGGCGAGGGCGTCGACGCGCGCGGCCGGCTTGGGGGCGTCCGAGGGTGGCATTGGCGTCGCCCCGTCGCTTCTACTGGCCGGCTGCGCGCGTGTGTTTGGGGGTGGGGGGCAGAGGGGGGAGCGGCAAACAGACGTGCAGAGAAAACAACAAGAACAAGAACAAGAAAAAAAAAAAGGTGTGTGTGTTTGTTGGGGGAGGTGGGGAAGGGAGGCGCGGGCGCACGGCATTTCGGCCGCCCTGCGTTACCGCGCCGGCCCGCATGCCCGCAGCAGCGGCAGCAAACAAGCAAGCAAACAAACAAACAAAAGGCCGCCGCCACATCTATGTGTGTCCCGCTCCACTACCATCCGGAGGAAAAAAAAAAAAACAAAAACAGTAATGGACTGCACATGCTAGCTACAAAAAAAAAAGGAAGAAAAACAACAACAACAACAACACTCCAACGACGCGAAAACACGTACTCGTAGCTAAAAATAAATTACTCCTCTCACAGCCCCCAAGGATGCCTATTTGCCCACGCTAACGACGCCCTTTTTCCCCCCGTGCACAAAGGCGTCATCCCACACGCTTGGCAGCTGGTCCAGGGAGGCGGCCACAGCAGTCGGGTAGTGGAAGCCTATGGAATGAAGCTGCTGAAGCACAAATTCTAGTTGCGTCTGACGCTCGCTGTAGGAGAGGCCCGCGAGGTACGCGGGGAGGTACATCCCCTGCATCGTCACCTCGTTGTAGATGAGATTTGCGCCAGAAAACATTAAGCCGACGCCGTTCTGCGCGCCATACGAGACCACGTGCCCCCCGCCGCCAACAAGTCCGAGGAAGGTGTCGAAGTGGCGGCCGCCGACCCCGTTGAGGTACAGCGCAGCCCCAACGTTCCCGATCGCCTGCCGCATCGCGCGGGCACCCTTCCCGTTATACTCAAAGACCTCGCTGCCGTACTTGGCGTGGCGCTGCTTCGCCCCGTCAAAGCGCTCACCGGTGGCGCAGGCGGTGAGGACCCTCACACCGAGCGGCTTTGCCAGGGCCGCCACCGCCAGCGCCGTGACGCTGCTACCGCCATTCTGCACCACCACCTGCCCCTTCCGCAGCCGCGTGAACCCGTTCAGCAGGTGCTGGGCGACCACGTAGTTGGCGGCGTTCACGGCGAGCGGAGCGTACTTGGGGTCAATCTTGTGCACCGCCGCCGCGTCCACCGCCACCCGCGTCGCCCACGTCCCGTGCACGGGCGCCACCCACACGGTGTCGCCCTCCCGCAGCGTCTGCGAGCCGCCCGCCGCGACGACTTTGCCGACGCCCTCGCAACCGCCGACGCGCGGAAAGGCGGCGGGCGGGGGACGGCGCCGCCCCAGCGCCGTCCCGTTGACCACAGCGGCGTCTGCGCGGTGCAGCGGGGCCTGCAGCACCTCCACAACGACGTCCTCCTTCGCGGGGACGACATCGAACGTCTCTTGCCGCAGCACGCGGGCAATCGGGCCGCAGCGCGCGTAGCGCCACCCTTTCGACGAAAACTTCGACATTCAACTCCCACTCAACTACAAGAAGGGTCCCAACCCACACAAGCACAAGCAAACAACAAGAGGAAGACAACCAACAACACCAACAAACAAACAAAACATCCGCTACAGGAACGGCGTAATAGGCCCAAAACAACGTAGGTGCCAAAACTCAGTCACCGCGCAAACAGGTACACCCACAACGGCAAAAACAATAACACTCACACGCCCGCAACGTCGTTTCTCTCCCTACACCGCACGTTTGCAGGAGTACAGCAGGTTCTTCAGCGCCTTCACCTCCTTCTCGCTCTTAATGACGTTCATCTTTGACTGATAGTGCTGCAGGAACAGCTGTGTGTGCTCCTTCAGCATCTCCTCGAGCTCGCCATTCAGAACTGGGCTGTTCAGCGTGAAGAAGCGGATCAGGTAGTTCAGCTCCTGCACGTACATGTAGAAGAACTTGTTCTTCGCCGCACCGTACATGATGCCCAGGTCCTTGTGCACCAGCAGGTACTCGTAAAACTTCACGTAGTGCACCTTCACGTCGTCCAGGTACCCGTTCAGACACGCGTAGAGCGAGACGACGGCGCTCATAAAGTACGACGGCTGCTTCTGGTTGAACAGCGCAACGAAGCGCGCTCCGCGGATCATGGGAATCGTCTGCACCTGCTGCCC